TATAACTTTAGTCAATTCAATCACAAAGTACCCATGTACTATTTGATTTGATTATATTTTTGTGTACGAAGTATCTCTTTTGTTTTAAGCGTTTTATAACTCGTTGTGAATTGTGAATTCGTATTTAGACTTCGTCTATAAAATATTAAAGGACATGTAAGTATCAATTAGAAAAATCATTGTCAAGTTCATCCCGAACAAGTGTATGCATGCACTATGCAGCATTTGACTTGGTCATATCTTGTTGGATTTTATTGCATTTCAGACATTTCATATCTCGTTGTAAGGATCTTTTTTATATCTAGAACTTTTACTAATTAAGACCCTTATTTTGATTGTTAACAAAATTTAACACACAAAATCAATCGAAAATAGGGATCACCCAAACGGACTACATGTTTCTCAAATGTTAAAATATGACAAAATTGCGAGAAAAAAATGCTTAAAGATACATAATGATTAATGAAGATAATCAAAGTCAAGACATGAAGCTAGCTAATAAGTTTACTTGATGATGACAAGTCCTAGCTAGCCATAGCGTTCCAGTGAATGTGGAGACCCGGCAAGGGAGTCAAGGTAGCTGCATCTGACCGTTGACTAGGAAAATGGGATGGAAGACTTTGTATGCAAAGAGCTAACTAACTAACGTACTCCCTAATATGTAAGCCATCTGTGGTTGACGATCAGCACGGATCCTTTACCCAACTAACTCAACCTGCGTGATCGATCTACTTACTTCTGGTTGAAGCTAGTAAATCAGTCTAAATGCAAAACCCCAAATGTCAAACTAAAACTACTTTCACAAATTCTTGGTGTACACGTTCTTATACATATCAGTACACCTCCGTGTCTGTGAGAGGTTTTTTATGTGTGTAATCTTATACACATCAGTACACGTAATTTTCCACAGACATTCACAGACAAAACCGTTTTGTCTGTGAACAGGCATTCACAGACAAAACGGTTTTGTCTGTGAATGTCTGTGGAAAATTCTACAGACAAAACAAGCCAGTTTTTGTCTGTCGATTGGAATTCAAAGACGAAAAATAACTCTCACAGACACGGAGGTGTACTCATGTGTATAAGAATGTGTACAAAAGGAATTTTTCAAACTATTTATCTACTTTCCCTTACCAATTGGATGGAAAATGTCCAATTCAACTGATATGGAAAAGGGAAGAAATGTATGTGGAAAACAACCAAGGATTTTTCAAATATACGTAGTATATATTAGGGAGTATCAAAATATAAGCAACGTATTTTCAAAATAACAGCCAGACAAATTGAACATCTTGAAATAATAAATTTAGCAGTTTGAAAACCATGTACCTTAGTGTTATGATTAGACATGCAAGTACGTTTATCAAGAATTATATACTACAGTTAAATTTGATTTACCATGATGTTATATACGGAGTACATGATTATTTATAATTTATGGGATTTTGACACATCCTTTAAATGACAAGAGTTAATGTGCATAATTTGTGTATCGCGATGAGGGTTTTACGCCTTAAACCCGTTCTACATATGTTGATTTAAATTACTGATATACTAATTCAAATAGGATCTGTCGAGGAAGAGCTAAATTCATTATCTATTTACACTTGTTAACTTCTTTCTAAAAAATTCAACACTTGTAGACTAAGGAAATTTTGTGATCCGATCTTATCCAGTTTTATTTGGCAGTCTGGGCTATTATAATCGTCAAAGTTTGATCTGAGCTGATCTATTTAAGTCATGTCTAGTCTAATGAAGTATGATTTAAGACTCAAACCAATTCAAGTAAAACATTCTAAACTCAATACCTCAAATGGGAAGAAAGGGTAAACAATATGATGGAGTATATGGCCCAGGGACCCCCGGTCCACAGATTCATATTTCTCCTACACAGGCCCATCAAGCCAAATGTGCACACAAAGCCCTAATATGGCGGCCCGAGTATGAAGAGGCCCACGATACACACTTGGGTGCCTTCGTCCCTATGGCCGAGGGCTCCAATTTCCACAAGGCATCTAGATTTGAGCATACAAAACTACTGAGAGAAAAAGACAGAAAAAGGGAGTCTTCTGCTCCTAGGCGCTCTCGGCACGTGGGTAGCCTTCGGCTTCACAGAGCCTTCGGCCACAGGCCAGGACTTCGGCTACCTCACACTCAGCGAAGATTCCTTTTGGAGACAGGCAACCACCGTGGCGTCACGTCCAACCACCGCATTTAATGCGGCGCACATGCAAATGCTGGTGCCACCCCGATTGAGGTGACCCTCGGCCGTTAGATTAGTGACACGTGTACGCGCTTAGCATTTATGGCTGCTATAAATAGCAGCCCCTTTCTCCATTGTAAAGGATCTCAACATCTCGAGTTCATTTAATACACTTGATTCTCTCTCTTACTTGCTTACTCTGACTTTTCTCTAAGTTATTCCCCGCAATAACCCTTCGGATAAGCTACCTTCGGGTACACTATCCATCACAATACTAAACACGCAAACTACAACTTTGCTAGTACACTTCTACTTTATCCGAACCTTGCAAGACCGTACAATAAATTCATGAAAAACAAAAAGGAGAAATCTAAGTTTCAAAATTGGGTAAAACCACACTATGATTCTACGAAACCCCCAAAGTGAAATCTATGACTAGAAATTGGGTTGCTTGGGAAGAAGGGAAACCGGCAATCAAACCCAACAGCATTGTTCGCATTGTTCGCTATTTAGTGAACCTAAATTTTACCAAAATAGTTTACATTACATGTAGTAATTTGAAATAGGATACATATAATAGTCGGCACTCGGCACTTTTATTAACTATAGGATGATTTAAGATAGTGCTTGAGACCTCATAATGGTCTGATTGAAACATTTTAATACTCCAACGGTCCCAACATATTTTATTAGTTGTTCGCTTGTTCCTAGGCTATAAATCAATCGTGTGCCATAAAAAACATTCGTGAAAATTTAGAAGAATAGAAGGGATAGTAAATAGAGTAACAAAGTGTCACAACAAAACTGTGAGAATAAATGGAAAAGTATATAAGAGGATATAAAAAGGGAACTAAAAGATGAAAAGTACGATAAAAATGAAATTGGCCTAACTGGTAAACTAGTGCAGAAAAAAGAATAACATAGGGAGGGAGTATACAAAATGTTTAAAACCAATTAGATAATGGAAGTGATATATCTCGTCTACTTAAGTTGCCTACTCAATGTTAGTCTTTGGGTTAGTGGCGCATTCCTCTCCCTAAGATAGGAATTTTATCAATCCAAGATCTAAAAGTTAAGTTTTTTTTTACAGTACCTAAAAGTTAAGTTAATTATCAATTTTTGACCTAAAAGATATTTTGAATCAATAAGGAACCTGAAACATCTAAAACTATAAATTTTGGACCTCTCTCATTAACACCGTTAGTTTATTCTTTCACCTCTCTCATAGACATGTCACCTCTTCATTCTTTCACCGACATCAAGCATTATCATCACCTCATCTTCCAAAACGAAACCAACCTGAGATTACTCAATTTTCCGAGCTCACTTCCTCCTGCTTAATAAATCGGCTACCTGAGACTACGAAATCTTCCAAGCTCACTCATCTTAGTTCTTCCTTCTCATCAAATCAGTGACCTGAGATTACTAATCTTCCAAGCTCACTTCTTCCTACTCATCAACTCAGTGAGTCTTGGATGTAAGAACAAGGAAACATATCTAGGCATCAAGGATAAAAGGTTTGTTAAGAAACCATTCTTCACTGTGTATGGAGCGAGATTTCAATTGGTTGTATACGTTTTGTGAAGGGCAGTTTTTTTGCTTGAAGTGCTGCGTTACAGAATGAGATTGCGGCCACGTTATAGTTTAGGATGAGTAGATGAGTCCAAAATTGATAGTTTAGGATGTTTCAGGTCCCTTATTGATTCAAAATATCTTTTCGGTCCAAAATTGATAGTAAACTTAACTTTCGGGTCTTGGACCAACAAAACTCCTAAAGATATTTAAAAACAATCCAAGACACGTCTCCACTTCGAATAGATTTTGGGTTTTGTTGGCGTTCCTAAAACCTAGGATTGGTGTTCCTAAAATCTAGATCCATAATGTTTTTAGTTGAACTGGTTTCAATCTAAAATCAAACCAAGTCAAACCAAACTAAACTTAAGAAGAAAAACCAAACAGACAATATCAAACTTCAATAGTTGTAAAATACACTTAGGGACCGTTTGGTACGTTGCAAAGTAAACATTTTGCATGCCAAGCGTGGGGAAGTAAACATTTTACATCGTTTGTTTTAACTATTTGATGTAAACTGTAGTACACTTTTTAAAAAACATTTTACATTGTACCATGTAAAGTATTTTACATGGGAGAGTAAACTATTTTACACTATTGAATACGGATGATAAAATACACCAGAGTCCATCTTTGACCATTTACTCTTTTTAAATGGTACGGCGGAATTTGACCATGAGTAATTTAGCCCTACTTTCTAGGATCGGCGCAATTTTAATTGACCATGAGTAAACAAGCCCCAAATATATACATATACAGAGCAAATAATGTTTGGTAACACTCGTTTCATCGTTGCTGATTGGATGTTTTCAAGCCCCATTGAAGCAATGATAATGTTTGATGTGGTAGATTAGTTCCATTTACGTGTTGATTTGTTATTTGAGTTCAATGATGTATTTATTTTGCATTTATTTTTAAAATGGATCACATACCTTTCCAAACAATGTATTTTAATTTTACATATAAATAGTTTCATCCATACAGTTTACATGCAATCACTTTACGTATAAAGTTTTAATATGCAAAGAACCAAACACCCCCTTAGAACAAACATCTGCCGGATCAAATCAAATTTAAAAAGACCAGACTAGATCAAACCACAAAACGTCAATCCAATGAAAAAAATCCGTAATTTAGGTAATTACAAGGTAGCGGCTTTTGTGAAATGATTGTTTTGACTTACCCATCAATCTATCATATTAATTAGCTAAAGTTATAAAGGAAATTTGTGAAGAATCATCAATAATAACAGCAATAATTCAGAAATCATCAAAAAAGTAGTGTCCTTCCCATAGTTCTCTTTTCATTCTGAGTGAACATAAAAAAACGTTATTCAATATCTTGATGAAAACTAAGCAGGTCTATTAGCTCCCCAAGCATACAACAAAGGACAGTAAACCTCACCGACATTAAAACAGAGGATTGCGATTCCCATATAGTCACTACATGTACGAGGGTAAATCAGTAATTACGTTTATCCGTTCTGGGCATAGTGGGGCATAACAATCAGGGTTGCATGATGCTAACAGAATTCCACTGAAAGCACCAAATTATATAATGTACCAACCTCGGAATCAAATATCATCGTCTTTGAAATTGACAGCAAGATCCCAATAGTGGGGAACACCAGCATCGGCAAAAAACTTACGGGCAGCAGCTTCGGTCCGCACCTCATGAACAAGGAACCTGTGGAAGTTCGGTTTGGCAACACTCCCTTGCCATACCAAAACACACTTGTTGACAGCCTTTTCTTCATCCTCATCATCCCCATCCTCTTCTGTCTTGACTGCAGCAGCCCAGTCGATCCTCCTCAGCATAAGTTTCCCGTAACGTTTTATTGACTTTTTCCCGCCCTCAACCACCACCACAGTGATCCCGTCTGAAATTACTAAACACCCGGTCAACCGGTTCTCCTGAGCATTGACATCCACCTTGAACCGTGTCTGAGGGTGTGAAAGGTTATTTATTTTGTACACAGAAACTGTGGTCTCAAGTAACCTATTCGGGTCGTCAAATAGTTTCCTCTCTTTCTTTTCACGGCGTTCATCTGGTGTAAGCTTGCGTGCTATGTTTCTATCTATGTGAGCTTGCTCCCTCTCAGCAGCAGCGCTTCTGATTTCCATCTCAAGCTTCGTGGGGTCCTGTGTGGCTTCTGACCCGAGAACTTTCATCAGGTTGCTCATTTTGACTTTGGACTTCGGTGGTTCCAATAGCCCCTGTCTAATCATCTCTTGTTTGTCTTTCTCCCTGGCCAATCTACGCTGGGTGCGGAGCTTCTTCTGCTCCTTTTTCGTTAGCTTCAGTGGTTGTGGTGGAGGTGGAGCCGGTTCTGCAGGAGGCTCGATCGGGCGTGGGTGTTCGATATAGATAGTGATTTTCTCCATCTTTAGCATTTCGTGACTTATGCTGCCACCGGTGATGTCACCGTATGTACCAGATTGCAAAATGGGTACATCCCTGACAAGTTAAAATGAAACAAAATATAGTACGATGAATAAAGACGAAAATGTTTTGGGAATAAGGCTTGGATATTGTTGTTGGTTAAAGATGAAAATTGTTGAAAACAATCAGTATTACTCTCTCTGCCCCGTCCCCCTAGCAAATTTTTTAAAGACCTCTTTGAACACAAAAAATAGTACACTGATCAAACGAAGTTTGCTCTCGTGTAATTTTCCGAAAGAGTCACAAAGGCATTTCATATGACAAAACTAAGTTAAACCAACAATAAAATTAAAAAAATGAAGGTACCACACAAGATTTCTGACTATTAAACACTTGTGCCATAATTAAAAACTTATACATTGGTTAATATGACTCTTTTGGATGAGGTACAAAGAGTACTCTACATTACCAGCACGGACACTGCAAAGTGAAGCAAAAAACTGTAAAAACATAATCAACTTACCACCACTCAACCTCAGGAATTGGTTCCTTTTGCTTTTCATGAGTCATAACTCTTTGTGAAACCTCAATGAGATTTGGATTTATATCAGGTTCAGCTTTTGCCTTTGCTAACTGTGCTTGCTTTGCTTTTAGCTCCTTCGCACGTGCTTCTCCGAATTGACTCTACAAAAAGTAAGAATTGGATAGAGCATAACTAGAGTAATAAAATTATACAAAAAAAAAAAAGGAATGCACAAGAGATGAACTATTGGATGCATTGGGGGGAAAGAACCTTCAACTTAATGGTTTCTGCATCCTTGGACCATTTGCCTTCCTCTACAAACAGAAAAGAAGACCTCTTGGGACGCAGAATCTTAGTTTTGTTAAGACCCATACTAGGATCAAAATGAGGATTCTGGTCAGGATCGACTTCAAGTTCTGGTTTCAATATTTGGAAAGCATCTTTTTTCTTTTTATTGATGTTCACCTGATGAGTAAATAACACCCAAAATAATGTTAGATAATGTTAGAAACCGTACTTCAAAAACAAAATACCACCCAAAATAAATTATCACCTTAAGAGTACTAGATGGTTTAGGCATGTTAACAACATTTCCTTGTTCATCAACTTCCCTGCCTAAAGCATCCAAACGGAGAACGGGAACTTTGGAAGGCTTTGGTTGCACTGCAACTTCTGGAGGCAACTGCCCAGGAAACATGTTTATGAGAGGAGCAAACTCCGGATCTTGACGAAATCCCATCTTTGCAGCAAGCTCTTGTGCACGTTTAACGGCTTCATATTTCTGTGCTGTGAGCCCTGTAAGATGAGGCAAGCCACTGGGCGGTAGATTGATGGAAGCTTCTTCCTGAAGGTTTGATGAGCTTGGAGCAGTAGTTTGGGGTGTAGGTAGTATCCCCGAATTGGAAGATCCAACTCGACCACTAGTTGACGATGAAGCCTTATGGCTCTCTATAGTACCCAAATGTGGGCTGGGCCCTCTAGTTTGACCAGCGCCCATATTCAACTGTACAAAAAAATCATAATAATTACAGCTTAAACAGTCTTCCTTTACAAACCATGGATTGTAATGCAATACTAAAATATGCATATATGCACACATATTGGCCGGGAAAACTTGATACCATCAGCACAGATCTCTCCCACACCAAGGCATACATTTAAGCTCTTTATCCAGCCTCCTCTAATTAGCAATAAGAAGTTATACCGAAGAGGCAAAAGCGGCCTAACCTATACATGCATGCAAGGGAAGGTGCAAACTTGGTGCACCATGCTGCCTGTTATAGATTACGTACATGCATGCCTACATATATACTTATAGAATGGAAATTGCCTTAAAAAGGAGTAAAAACGTTTTGGAATTCCAAAATAGGGCTGTCAAGTTTTTATTCCTGAAATATGAGTAATTACTGTCATGTTTTGGCAGTACCAGACTTTAAACATGGCAGTATTTTTCAAACATGACAGCAATTACTCCTATTTAAGGAATAAAAACATGGCGGTAATAAAAACGTGACTGTATTAATTACTCCTATTAGGAATTCCAAGCTCAACTGCTCTAGCCTATTTCCCAAAATTAACCATTGTGCACTGACTTTTTCAAGCCTTTGCGAGCTTGATACTTGATAGATAAAAATTAAATATTTAGTTATTTACTGATCCTAATATTTATTGAAACATGATTTATAAAAAGTAATAAGTTTGATGAAATATGAGATAGTTTTAAATTGAATATAACAAAACAGATCAAAATTATGGGTTAAATGTTTTGCCAGATTCCAACTCCTGTTGGATTTTTTTTACACATGAACATGCTAACAAAAACTTATACTGAACCAAGATCCGATAGTACAACAAGCTTTTAGCTGGCTCATTTACAGCCCCAATTATATTTATCGGTGAATAGATATATAGACTACATGCTGCAGAAAAATTTCAATTGAAAATAATAAGCTTCCCATAAATGAAAATGTGAAGAACCAACTTACTGAAGGAATCTTCTTAAGCTTTTCTGCTAGCTCCTTCTGCATTTGTAAAGCTCTTTTGGCTTTAGCTAAAGCATCAAGAGAAAAGCCTGCTCTCTTGCCAGCATCGGAAGTTGTCCCATCTGTACTGGATTTCCCAGGAACCGCATGAGATCTGATAATATTAACTCCCTTATTTTCATTTGTAGAAATTGAAGATACCTTGGTAGCAGGAGAGTCAATAGGAACCAAGGAGGAGGTTGAAGGCAAAGTCTGGGATACCTTGTTGAGTGATTCCATTGCAGCACCCTGGAAGAAATAAAATCAAATAAAAATATTATCAATTGGAATGATGAATTACTATAAGAGCTAATCTAATTCAGATATTGAGCCTCAATGGAGCAGACTGCAAATACAATCTAATTCAGATATTGACACCTAAAGACTTGGAAACATTCAAGCAAATTCACACAACCAATTTTTTATCAGCAGACATATAACCAGTATGGTTGCTAAGTTTCCTATTGTGAATAAATGGACTAGATGTTTGATGCAAATCAATGTAGCACGGAAAGGTGAAATGCGAGAAACGAAAATTCTAGAAAATATAGGATACGAAAAAGTGGGGGAAACGCGTAAATATTTAAAAAATGGATATCTGTAAATATTTTTTCATACATGTACACAATTTTTTTTATTTATATACGCACATGATATTTTTCATATAACTTGCTTAATAACCCAATCATAAAAAAATATTCTGCATGTTCAAATTCAGAAATCATTACATGTAGTACATAATTAAACACAAAATGAAATGCATTGCATTAAAATATGCCACAATGTTGCTATGAAGAAATACCAAAAAAATCACGATTTTTTGAAAAAATACACTATGTTCCATCATAGGATCTCTTACAAAAGAAAAAAAAGGAAACCCGAGGTTTCCAAAACGCTAATTATTTAGAGGAACGGGTTTCCCAATTCTTCTTAATTACGGAACGGCCCCAAAAAGGTAATTTGAAGTTCCCGAGCTTCTGAAACAAGGGAATGCGAGCTGCAGAGAGTTTCCGTGCTTCATAGATGCAAATAGTTGTTTTGTCACTATGCATCAGAAACCAAAGAAATGTCACTGCATTGATGCTATGTTTACATAAAAAGCAAATAGTTTTCCAGATAAGGTGCTCAAAAAGAAGGTATAAAATGCTCAGCCGAACAGTTATCGTCGGATCAATAATAACCTAGCATTAATTTGCTCGAGACAAACAACTCAGCATGCACAACTAAGAAATGATGTAAGTTAGCTGCAAGCCTGCAGTTCTTATCAAAGCATATATATAGCATGAAAACTTATAAGATAGTATATGGATGGAAAAGAAGCTCACATTGGCAACGGGATCAACATGTTGACCATCTTTTATTAACTCCTCTTTCTTGACAGTTCTTTGTAGGGATTCCCTTTCCTCATCTGCCCCGGCATTCGCTTCTTTCACTTTATCCACAAATCTCTTCTTTTCTCTCTTTTCGTGAGTGAGTTCTTTATCCTTCACATTACCGTCTTCAAAGCTCCTCCTCTCCTGTCTATCTTCATTCTCCTTTCCATTCACATGCTTTCCCTCTGAAACCCTAACTCTCTTCTCAGCTCCATCATTTCTGTCTTCACTGTCTCCTCTCTCTTTCCTCTTACTTGAATGCAGCCTCTCTACCGAATCATCTCTCCTATTTTCCCGGTCTTGCGATCTCTCACGCTTATATCGATCATGAGACTTCTCCCTCCTGTCACGGCTTCCCTCTCGCTCGCTCCTCGGCCGCTCAATTGATCTCTCCCGATCAAAGGAATCCTCCTCTAAATGTCGGCGGTGGCGATTTTCCGACCTGTGTCGTTGCTCATTGTCATCGTCGCTGCGGTGCTTTGAGTGATGACGGTTGTGATGTCGACGATTGTCTTCATCACTGTCGGGTTCCTTGTACTTGTCCTTGGAGCTTTGATGCTTGTGGTCTCTTTCCTTCGTTGAATCTCTCCCTCTTCGACTAGATTTTTCCCTTTCCATTCTAAGGTTTCTCTGTGAGTCAAGGTCTCTTTCCCCTGTTGAATAGTTTATACAGTACAAGTTACGATTAGCAGTTTAAAGGAGTTGTACTAAATAGGACTTTTAAAGACATTTTAATACTCCGTATTTGTTTTTTTAATATTTGTATTCATATGGGATTTTAGTATACTTTTTCATATTTAAAGAAAAGAAATCACAGTTGGCGAAATAAACAAGGTGCATCTCATCGGACAAATAACTTGCAGTAAGTTTTATAACTGTGAAACCTATAATTGGGAAAGTGGGAAGCTTCTGACATTTTTTCTAAATTCGTACGCTTCATCAGGTCCTTCGCACTACGAAGCTGCATTTGACGACAAGATTCACTTGACCATAACAATTTTTTTAGCAAATGCTATCGTCATCATGATCAGGGGCGGATCTAGCATATGAATTGAGTGTGGGCCAAAAATTAATATATTAATATAAATAAAACAACATCAATTGCAAAAGGGTAAAATACAAAAAGCAAATTTACATATATCTTACAGGAATAGAAGTTTTCGTCAAAGTCAAATAAAAAAAAACATCACAACTTCAACTCAGTAACAATCCAGCACATTACATGAAAAATGAGATAAGATTAAAAAAATTCCTCACAAGTAGCTATCATATTAAAAAACAATGGGGTTAATACTTATATACTACTACTATTTGTAAATTTAGTTAAACAACCAAAAAATTGTAAGCATATACAAGTGCATTTCACAATGTCTAATTGTGTGATACCAAGCTACTAACCACATTCTTGTGATAATGAGATATGGTATATTCCAATCATTCATGTTCAGAAATTCTTTAGAAACATTTACAGTTAGTAATTTCTTGGTGAAGTAGAAGAAATTTGAAAATATTCTTAGCAAACAAAAATGATACTAAGCACCCCTGTTAACAACAAGAAGACTTTCAATGTTATACATAAAACGTTGCCAACAGAGTTGTATCTTAAAAAAATCACATTAATATATTAATTCACCGTCTTTGCAATACAAATTGAAAACAGTGCACTGCTAAGGAATTAACTATTTAGAAGTGTATTTCAGTAACTACCTATGCACATCAAAGAGAAACTTAAACTTGGTCTAAGCTCTAACACATGTAAATTGTCTTAAAATACCAATTAATCATTTACTTTAAGTGCAAAAAATCAACAAATAACAACGCAACAATTCAACAAACATGAAATTAAAAAAAATCTGAAAATAAACAAATTACAACAATTCAACAAACAATTCAGCAATTCAACAAGCAATTCAACAATTCAAAAATTCACAGTAATTAGCAACTAAACAAATCGGAAAAGCTGAAAATCAGTGAACTGACCGGATTGTGGAGGCGAGGCACGGTAGGCCAGGGGCGGCTGGCGCTGGGTGGCGGAGGTCGAGGCTCTGTCTTGCGAGTCTTCGTTCGTCCTCCAGTCCTTCCGTCCTTCACTGCCGTGGCTTCGTCGTTCGGTCTCCAGAGAAGCTTCGTTAATCGTTTGTGATTTCCGTGGCTTCGTGCTGAAGTGCGCAGGTTTGGGCGAGAGTGGGACGTAGAATGGACGGGAGAATTCGGGTTGGGGTAATACTATTGGTTTTTTTGGACCTCCAAATATTTGGGCCCCGTGCGGTTGGGCTGAGGAGTCATGCCCTGTGCCGGCCCTAACTCAATCTAAGTTGTTAACAGTTAACACATTAACCTAAACCATAATTTATCACTTCTTCTCATCAGAAACTGAGAAGTTGGGTTAAAATGATGAAAAGTTGAACCAGTGTTTTTACAACAACACATAAATTGAAAAATGAGATCAAATTCAAGATTATAAAATGAAGATATGAGATTGAATTGAAAATTACAAAACAAGATTAAGACCTGAAGTCGTAAAAATTGAATAGAGGGGCGTACATAATTTTTTACATTTCTTTTTTTAAAGAAAGACACCAATTTATTAATAATATTAAAAGTAACGGTAGACAAAGCAGAGCAATAGCTCATAGCAACTCTGGAGTGAGTCATAAAATTAGCTAGCCTCAGAAAACCGTGTCAGATCGCTAATTCCACAATATAGTAGGTCATTCTATTAGCAATACTGGACTTGCTACTAAGACAAGAAAATAAATAACAAGCGTTCGAAAGCTGAAAATGAAAATGGTTAACAACAATCCTGGTTTTACCAGCCACCAGCAAGGTATAAGAGGTTTGATCCACCACCTCCCAAGACAACATTCTGACTTGACCATCCATCGGGGAGGGAGAAGAGGTTTGTCCAGCTACCTCCAAAGGAAGACTCCCACTTGCATCAGCAAATGATATTCCCAGGCGGTGCTGATTTAGTAGCACCGTCGTTGCCTCATTTTTTGAACGGGCTCCATCGACCTCCATATTGACTTGTACTTCCACCAGGTTACCCAAATCCACTGCTCTTCGTTTCCTGGATTCAGCTTCCTCTAAACTTCTATCCTGTTGTGGCTCCTCTACCATCCCCACTTTCTCTTTTCCTCGCGAGATCAAACCCTGCACCAAATAACATCCCACATCGGTACCTTCTATTGGCATCCTACTAGCCGACTTTGTCTTTCATCTACTTTTTTTGTTTTGCTCTTCCCCTCCTGCCCTGAACTCGGGATAAACCATTTATTTATGGGGTGGGTCCCCCTTGGCGCAGATCTGTCCTCATCAGGGGCCATGCGGTTTGTCACCCTCCCATGGTCCTGCGCTGCTGTTTGAGGGACAGTATAAATTTGGAAGTCTCTCGTATGTAAAATACGCCCAGAACCAGCTATCTCATTCCTCCCTTAACTAGGTTCTTCTCTTTAGAGCATTTCTTGTATCAATCAACGCACAGATTCGAACAAACTCCTTACTTTTCCCTTTCAGAGTTCTTTCATCAATCCCGACCAGCCTCCCCAAGTATTTGCCAATCCGAATCGCCATTGTCTCAATCATAAAACTGAGAGGTAAGTTATGGATTTGCACCCAGAATTCCACATGATTAAGCTCCACCTCCATTGGTCTATCTCTCTCTTCCACCCGACTTATAACAACTAGATTTTGGTCAACAGACCAGGGCCCATCATGCAAAACTCGTGAGATATCGCTCTCATGAAAGAACTGAAGCATAAAGCGCATATCACCTATTTGTTCGATGCTCACTCCTTTACTCGGGTGCCAGATCATGACCATTGTTTTCCTGAAAGAGACGGGACAGAAAGGTTTGTCCGTAATAACTCTAGCAACAGTAGAGAAACGTGGGTCCCCCTGTTGTTAACATTAAGAGATCTTGTTTCAAACACCAAGACACTATTTTCCTCCTTCTCAATCCGCTATTTTTACATTTCTTTTGTTCCTAAATTTCACTAAATGAAATATAAGAAAACTACAATTTATTAATTGCACAAAGTATGGTCAATTGATAATTGAATCGGAAATCTTTTCTATTTTGAACAAAATTAAATTCAATTTTTGATTTAGTTTACCTAGCTGAGTAGTGAATCAAAAAGACAACAGTCAGTGTTCTTTTCCAGCGTGCAGGTGCAGCAAACAACGTGCTGCGGGAGGTATGTGTGGAAGGCGACTACGCCGTTGACGGCAGTGGAGGGGCGGGTGGGCGGAAATAGACAAAGCGGTTAGCGATGAGGGAAGATGGTTGATGTGTCGTTCAGTTAGACAAAGCGGTCATTCCTGGTTGGCGGATATCATCTCTATATATATATATAAAAACAGAAAAGTGGGGAGGGAATTTGGGCGGGAATACTGTATCAATTTGGCCAAATAATTGCTACAAAACCTGGAAGTGTGATTAACGACAAAGCTTTAATTAACGAGAAAGTTGTATTCTTTAGAGCTAATATTGCGGTTTCCAAGGACCCATTAAATAAATTCAGCTCAATAATAACTACTGCATAGATTAATGCAAATAACTTTATAACTTGGGCGACAGCACAATAAAGATAATGAATCCTTCACACTCTTCCAAGTGATTGTTAGTATTCTTATGGAAACACCTTTCAGTGTTAGTCCTATAAGAAAAGGACTACTGCAACTCAAATTCATCACTCTGCAGCCTTTTGCACAAGAAACTTCTTAGTCTTCAACAACGGCAGAATGAATTCTAGCAAAATGTATTGTTTAGTCTTCATTAGAAGAATAAACAGTTCAATACCTGCAAAATGAATATACACATTTATGCAAGATGGGATCAGGTAATAATCACCTTCACTGATATGTAATAAGATATTAAATTAATCATTTTTTTTGTATAGATGCTAACAAACAAAATATATGATAAATATTCCTAACAAATGTTTGTAATATTCATTAATAAATAGATTGGTTAGATTCATTATCAATCACGAGTAAACATCTTTCTTATCTCTTAAGTATAAGAGATTGTTTGGTTCATAAACATTTTTCTTATCTCTTAAGTATAAAAGATTTACTTCAAGGTGCTATTTTCTTTTTCAAAAATGGAGCCAACGATTCATTATATTTTGGCTTGACAATATGATGGAATAAAGCGAAACGGCTCACTAAACTGTCTGCGCTACTTTCTTATGAAGCAGTTGATGTCAGTTCATGCAATTTTGGACGTGATTTTCACTATGGGTCATCCGGAAACAGTCTTTTTATGCTTTAGTATAGGGATAAGACTGCGTACATCTGACCCCCTTACCTCACCGTAGGTGGGAGCCCTTTGCGGCACTGGGGTAAATGAAAATGAAATGATGATGGAGTGTGATGATATTAAATAAAAAAGTATCTACAAAAACTAAAAATCCATAAATTGGCTTTCTGTTTGCAATGAAATGAGAAATACGTGGGAATCTGAACAAATTAAACCAAGGATGGTAGCTAACAGATTGTTTATGCTAAATTTTCGAAAAATTAGCATGAACATCACGATGCTAATAGTCCTCAAATAATCAAAGATATTCAACATAGTAGCATATCCGCTGTTTCATGAAAAATGTCAAAAATGATTATGTTAAGGAGAATAATCGACTTTTATACATTCAAAAGATTGTTTTCATACTTGGTGATTTTCGTCAATAGACAAATATTTGTGTTTTTATCGCACTCGATCCACTCCCTTTTAACATACAGGTTCCATAAGGCACAAGATTAATGTATTTAAACTGTTTAAAATAATTTCATCCAAAGAACTTCACAAAATATAATATCACTAAGATCATAAAAATCTAACAAATCTTCCAAGCCAATTTTTATAACAGACCGGTTGTTTCTTTTATGAAGGAAATTATTATAAAATTCAAGAAACATCTAGGAGTCCTAATTTACTACTCCCTCCGGTTCTTTTTAAACTTCAGTGTTTGACTTCACAGTTATTAAGGAAATAAAGTTGACTTTACTGTAGAGTACACTGTTGAGACACTGTTTGACACTGTTGAGACACTGTTTGGCACTGTTGAGACACTGTTTGGCACTGTTTAGCACTGTTTAACACTGTTTTGATGTATATTTCTTTGCCAAATAAAGAAATAAGGAAGTATGAAGTTTATTTTGGACCGTCCCAAAAAGGAAAGTGTGAAGTTTATTTAGAACCGGAGGGAGTATTAGACATCTTGAAAATGCAAAAGGTCAAGATGTTATAAATTTGTGTATTTTTTTGCTAAATAAATATAGTTGTTTTCTGTTTATTATGGGATAAACAATCAATAGCAGGACTAATGTTTATTAATTATTATTATGGTTTGAAATGCTGAATTTATCATGTCCTTAGCTTATATTGGAGCATAAGAACCTATTTATTTGTAAAGTAGAGCGTAAATATGAGATTAAAAGAGTTTGAAAAAACTAATAACCTTACTAAGCTGCTAACATCTTATATTAGATAAGGACATAAAAAACTTAGTAGCAAAACTCAGGCCTTCGTATGCTACAAATAATGAAAAGGCAAATTCAGGCCTTCGTAGCTTATAAAGATACGGCATATTCAGTCAAACTTAAAGAATGAGTGACTATTTCAATTTTATTTGCATTTTTATTTTGAAATAGAAGCACCAAGCCGTTCAATGCAAGAACTATAATGCTCTGTAGCAATCTAGCAACATTTTGAATGGCGAAGTGGGTTTCGGAGAGGTGCCGGCGTAGGTAGTGGAAGGACTGAAGGAGGCGACGGGATTTGGTCCAGAGTTTTTCATAGGCGAGTGTAGTCTTTGGTATAAAGTGGTGGATTTGAAGTGGGTTGCTAGGTTTGGGCTGGTATTTAGGCATGATGAAATTCGATATGGGTTGGCCATTAATTAATATTAGGGAAAATTGCATATATAGTCCCTCAGTTATCCACGAAATTAAAATCTCAGACTTGTATTTTTTATATTGTAAATGTCACCCCTCAATTGTTCAAAATAATGTAAATGTGGTCCTTTTGAGGGGTGAAATATACAATGTGGACGAGAGTACGTTTCACTACTATACTTAAAAGACCACATTTACAACAATTTGGACAATTGAGGGGTGTCATTTACAATCTCAGAAATACAAGTCTGAGATTTTAATTTCGTGGATAACTGAGGGACCATATATGC